GACTTGAGCTCTGCAATGAACATAAAGGACGAAGTGCAAGTTAGTGTTTTACACAAAAAAGGCTTCCGATTGTCTGAGCAGTAGTGAGATCAAGCTAGTTGCCAAAAATATTTACCCTCAGAGATAGATGGCCAAAGGGAGCTGTTTGAAATCTGAACCCAGAGCTGGATGTTGAATGTTGCATCTTGAGCTCATTTATTAAATGGTCACTTTTGGGGCATAAGCAAACATCGAATGGTTCAGAGGCTTGGAATGGATATAGATATTAAAGATCAGATGCTTATCTGAGCCCTCAGCATCTCTGGTCTGTAAAACAAGGATGGGAGTTTTGGGTATTTACTGTCTATTTAGGCTGGAACTGGGACTAATGTGGGGTGGGGATAGTATTTCTTAACGACTTTTCTGGTCAGGACCAGAACAGAGGTGCGTCTCTAATGCACAGTTTCCAACTTTCACATGAGTAAATAAGCACCCTGACTTTCACAATAAGACAAGAATCCAGCTAATCCCATTTCAAAACAAACCAATCCCTAAGAACCCCAACACTCTGTGACTAGATCCCCACAGCCTGCAGTCTGGGACTGTGGTGGGCCCGCTGTGCACCCCTGACTCTCTCTCTCCTTCTCCCCTTGCCCCTTCTTGCCGGGAGCCAATCAAAAAAAAAGAAGCAACAAGCTACAAGCCAAACAAGCTACAAGCCAAAAACTAGCCAACAAGCAACTCACAAGCCAATTAAGCCAAAACAAGCCCAATTTCTGTGGTTTTTTTGCGGGTTAGGCATGTCTGCTGTAATGTCTCTCTTTGTTGTGTCCCCATACAGGTTCAATGAAAGGTTAGTTGAGGTCTGAGGAAGGTTTGGATCATTTTTATCCAAATCATTTCATCCATCCTTTGTGTAATATTTTGGGAGGCATTGTGTACGGAAGAGCTGGTTATTGTGGTTAAGATCAAAGTTATAGTATCAATTGAGTTTCTGGTACAATCTCTCATGGACTATATCCTGCTTTTGGTGTGAAAGGATTCGATGACCTAGCAGGCCTTTTGCATTTCTAACTGATTCTAATTTTTCTTTGGAAGATTCAGCAACATCAAGAAAAAGTGTGGCTTATGCTGATAGTCTGTATTTTTAAAAAACATTTTGTTTCAAAATTTACCTTCAATAGGTAATTCCCAGTTTGAGAGAGTTGTGGTTTAGTAGTTGGAGCAGGAATGAGGAATGCCCAAATTTTAATCTGTGACACTGTCATCCCAGTTTTAAGATCAGACACTGTAACATAAATGTTAAACTGGCCAACATATATGTTATTTTAATCGCCTTTATATAACTAAAGGACTCTCAGGGAAAGTACAGACTTGAACTTCAGTTACTAGTATTTCACTCTGGGCTCCACAGTCATTCTAGTGGCCCAAGGATCAGCAATCCAAAAGTAATGGTGTTTCAAGGAAGGATTCTTTTAGCTTCTAGCAGGCAGAGATGAGAGGACATCATTAGTTTTCACTGCTTGCTAGAACCACCTATTCTCTCGCTGTAGCAGCTGTATCATCTCCGAGTAGGGGTGAGTGTGTTGATTGTTGGGCTATTGTTAGTCAATTAATAATCAGTTGTTGCACATCAGTCTTTTCTGATTATATTTGGGATGGAGCATGGCTCAGACATCAAACATTGCTGCAGTCTTTGATGTAGGATTTTCCAAATGGGTCATTGTCTTGGTTGGTTAATTTTTCTGGCCGATTAGCTATCCTGTATCTCCACATTATTTTTGCATAATTTTTGCATATTGTGTGGTTCATCATGAACCGATCAGAGTGAAAACCATTCAGACTGTAAGCTCCTCGGAGCAACGATTTGATCTGTGTTCCCCAAAAAGTACTTTGCAGTAGGGCTGGCTGGAAAAAAAATTCCAATGGAGAACTGAATTTTAAACTAAACTATTTTTTTGTGTGTGGAAACTGTTTTGCTTTCCATGATTTATTTTTATTGGATTTTCTTCAATTTTTTTCAGTCTCCAGCAAACAAAAACTTAAAAAAAATTGTTTATTTGGTTTTTTTATTGTTAAAATTTTCCACTGAAAATGGACATAAACAAATTGATTTTGTTGAGGTTTTTTTTCCCCCCAACCAGGTCTGCGTGGCAGGCTTGCAAGTAACATAAACAGATAAGTAATAACAACAACGTAGAACGGTTTGCTTTGGATGGATTCAGAGTTACTACTCTTCAGGGACATACTATTTTTGTCCTTTTTGCTCCTACAACAGATTTGTTGGGGTGCTCTGGGCTCCTGAAGATACACTTTTTTCTTAATTTGGGATGTTTATTCAAGCTTAGTGTTTTCTTCTGGCTGTATGTACCGTTATCAGATTGGTAATGACTTGTAGAGACCGGAAATATGAGCTGAGTCGTCAGGCGATCTTGGTTGTGTTCCCGGTTCTACCACAGACTGACATCCTGTGACTTCGGCCAAGCTGCTGAACCTCTCTGCATTTCGACACCCATCCCATCAGGATTATCTGGGATAATAATAGACACCTAATTCATGGTGTGTGGTGAAGGGAATGTGATAGTTCTGTGGTGGGTTGAAAGCGGAAGCTGAACTCTGCGCAGGCTGTTAATTGAAGGGCTTCTCGAGATGCTTGTGGGAAAGGTGTGAGCAGCTAGAGAATCGCTCTTGTCGCCGAAGAGCTGCAGCAGCCTCGGTAGAAGGTTAGAGGTGGGGTTCCTGCAATGTACAACTGCAAGAAACCGCCAGAGCTATTGAGAGGAAGGCTTCAGAAAGCCCCATCGTGTGTTGTTTTCCTGCCAGATGAGGTTTCCTGTGCGGGAGTCAGGACCTAGGATATACCTTCCTCTCATAATGCGACATCCTGTCACGCTGGCGCCTTCTGTTTGAAATGTGCTTTTGTACTGGTACCGTCTCGTAAAGAATCTGGGCAACTGCATCTGAGCAAGCGCTGACACACATGCAGTCAGAGGCCTAAATTTATCCCTGCACCAGGGCAGAGCCTGGTTCAGGGTGGCAACGTGCCTCCCCTAGCCTGAAGCTGGTTCAACCTTTGGCACTGGTGAAAGTAGCTCTGAGTGGTACTCTGACTTGTGCTCCTGCTGCAGCAGGTCATTAGGGCTGAGATACAGACATAGTCCCTCTGGCCCCTAGAATGGCTCCTACATCAGGGCCCTTACAGGCAGGGAGGGAGGGGTTGAAAAGCTGTCAGAGGCCCCTTATGTCAGGGGGACTGCCCCAGCTGGGAGTGGGGATGCCAGTGCAGCTTCTCTCTGGCTCAGATCTTAAGAAAGTGAAGAATCCCCCCTAGTGGGTTCATGTTCCCCTTGACATAGAGATGCATGGGCTTCATGGCCTACATCACTGTAGATCAGAGGTGGGAAAGCTACGGCCCGCAGGCCACATCTGACCCACGGGACCCTCCTGCCCAGCCCCTGAGCTCCTGGCCTGGGAGGCTAGCCCCCGGCCCCTCCCCTGCTGTTCCCCCTCCCCTGCAGCCTCAGCTCATCCCACCACTGGCGCAATGCTCTGGGTGGTGGGGCTGTGAGCTCCTGGGGCAGCGCAGCTGCAGAGCCCGGCCTGATCTGGTGCTTTGTGCTGTGAGGCATGGCTGTAGTGCCACCAGCCACCGGTGCTCCAGGCAGCGCGGTAAAGGAGCAGGGAGCGGGGGGGTTGGATAGAGGACAGGGGAGTTCAGGGTGGTGGTCAGGGGGCGGGGATGTGGATAGGGGTCGTGGAGGTCAGAGGGCAGGGAACAGGGGTTGAATGGGGGCAGGGGTCCGGGGGGGGGGCAGTCAGGAAGGAGAGGAGGGGTTGAATGGGGCGGCGGGGGGCAGTCAGGGGTGGGGGTTCTGGGGGCTATCAGGGGACAGGCAACAGGGGGTTGGATGGGGTAGGAGTCTGCGGGGAGCATTGGGGCGAGAAGCAGAGGGGGCTGGATACGGGGTGGGGGCCAGGACACGCCTGGCTGTTTGGGGAGGCCCAGCCTCCCCTACCCGGCCCTCCATACAATTTCCGAAACCCAGTGTGGCCCTCAGGCCAAAAAGTTTGCCCGCCCCTGCTGTAGATGGAAGCGGTACTTGTAAAGCCAGGCTCTGGTACTTCAGACACCTCCCCCGCTCCATTGAACTCTCCATTAATCACCTCATGACACTCCAAGCTGTTAGCCGGGACAAGCTTGGTGGGAAGCGGAGGAGATAGAGTCTGACGCTGCTGGCTGGTTTTTATTTACAAGCTAGATAGTGTTTGAAACTCCTCCATTTCTTTTCTGTATTTGAAACCTTATCACAGGGAAAGCAAATCTCCTTTGACAGCTGAATATGGGGAGCTGGAGAAAGCTCGGGGAGCTGCTAGCTGAATACTCATGATCCCTGCCCTATTGCTGGGGGTCATAGGCAGTTCAGGCCATAGGGCTGCTCTCCCACAGACTTCAGCCTCCAGCTGGGGTGGGGAGAGGGAAGACTGTGTTGCTTTAGAAAACCTGTTCAGTGTAGTGCCATTTGAAAAGTGCTAGCCCCCACGTGAGTAGCCTGCCATCCCAGGCTATTCAGATCCAATCTGCAACATGCTCCTTGCTGTATATACTCTCCCATGGGATTTTTGACTCTTGGGGACAATAGAACTGGCCTCCCTCAGGGGATGGTGTCAGAATGAATGTATTAATCTTGGGGAGGCACTCAGCCCAGATCCTCAAAGGTATGTAGGTGCCTAACGCCCACTGATTTCAGTTATTATAGGAATTGGAGGGATATAGAAGTACCTAGGCAGAAACATGAAACGTCCCCAAGATGATTAATAAACCCAGAGCTCTCATCTACAGTACAGAAAACAAATGGGGCTGCATCTGTACTGTGCGGGGAGAACAGAAACCAGCATGTGAAGAAGTGAATGCATCATAACAGAGAAAGAAATAGCAAGAGTATTGTTTTCACTGGAGGAGCTGGAAACAGTACAATTTCCTGGGTGCCATTAGACACTAACTTTGTCTCATTTTCTTACAGTGCTCAGTACAAAATTCAAGTATATCCAGAAGAGTAAGCGGGGGGAGACGGAGGCCTGAGAATTTGCCCTCGTGGGACCACGGATGCAGAGCACATTTGCAATGGAGCTGAATAATTCACCGTTTGGGAGCTATAAGGGAAAATATGATCCCCCCCCTTCTGCTCCTGTATTTCTAAACTCCCACGTGTCAATCATCTAGAACAACCCTTATGCTGGAAACTGGATGAATCAGTTTGGCTCAGGCTCTCACTTGGATAACTACAATTAAAAACTAGATACAGAGGGCAAACAAACATCTGTTGGGCGCCTTATCTACAGAGGGCCCTCGACTTTGTCTTGACAGTTAGCACTCTGTGGTGAATTATAATCTCCACTAATTCACCCAAGTGGTATTTATCTCCTCAGACCTGGTAAAAATCCCATGTGCTTATTGTTGCCATGACTTTGTGCCTTCTCCAGCCAAAGAATAACCAGGCTTCCATACTATGCTTTGAACAAAAGGTTTGACTGGAAACTGACAGGCTAATGCCAGGGTGTCCTGGATTTGTTAGGTTGCATGCTGTGATGAATGATTTCTGAACAACTTGGTATAGACCCCTGTAAGCAGCTAAATTACAAAAGAGCTGAAAAAGTTTCTTCACCTTGGACCTTCTGACATCTTTGGTTTTAACTCTGCTGGCAGGCTTGTTCCTAGGACTTCATTAACAGCCAAATCCTGATACATCAAAACCAATGTACGAACTTCTTGTGACTTCAGGGTCATGCTGAATTTGCTTGTCTGGTACTGAGTGCTTAGGCCTGGTCTACGCTACAAAGTTAGTTCAATGCAAGTCATCTTGGATCAGCCTATTTGCGCATGGGTCTACACTCAAATTTGTCACTGGCTGATGTAAGTGCCCCACTACAGCGACACAGTAAAACACCTGCCCGAACTGCGGAGAGCCATGGTTGACCTACTGAGGTCAATGCAGAGCGAGTGTAGCCACTGCATGACGTGTCAATTCCAACGACCTCCACCAGCTGTCCCAATGGACAGTGACCACCCTGGTTATATTTTTAAACTCCGCTGCCTATGGGTCCGGCTCCAGGCACCAGCGCAACAAGCAGGTGCTTGGGGCGGCCAACGGGAAGGGGCGGCACGTCCAGCTCTTTGGCGGCAATTTGGTGGCGAATCCCTCAGTCCCTCTCGGAGGGAAGGACCTGCCGCTGAAGAATGAAGCGGCGTGATGAAGCTGTTGCTGATTGTGATCGCGACTTTTTTTTTCCCCCTGCCGCTTGGGGTGGCAAAAATCCTGGAGCCGGCCCTGCTCCCCACTTAACTCCCCCTGTGTGCTTTCGAAATGCCTCTTCCTGATTGCCCAGCTTGGCGAGCACACACAGCTCACCTTTGTTACATGCAGTTGCCTTGCCTAACTGACCATGCCAGCTCCATGCACACAGACGTACTAGACACAGTCCTGCCTGGAGTAGACAGAAAGTATTGGATTTCCTGGGCACGGACCAGCTGTAGAAACGTGGACATCCCTGAGCAGATTGCATGGGGGGTGCAGGGAAAGGGTTATGACAGGGATCAGCAGCAGTGCTGTATAAACGCGAAGGAACTTTGCCAGGAATATCACAAGGCCAGGGAGGCCAATGATGGATCTGGTGCTGCGCCACAGACCTACCACTTCTACAAGGAACTGCATGCCATCCATGGTAGAGACCTCGCCAGCAACCCACAGACCACTGTGGATTCCTCATGGGAGCCCAAGACCCTAGCTGTGAATGGCGAGGAGGAGGATGGGATGGGGGAGACATAGCAGGGGACTCCAGCCATGCTGTGAGCCAGGAGCTGTTTGAGGCTCCACCAAAGTCTAGCAAGTCCTACCAGGCGAGCACAGATGAGCCTAATGAAGGGGGAAGAGAACTCAGGTAAGTGTATGCATACATTTTTTTCCCTTACAATGTTGACTTTTAAAGATGGCACCTGGCCAGGCCCCAAGTTAACAAGACAAAGGTATCGACTTTTCATTGTTTTACTTGTATAAGAAGAGACAGAGGTACAACAGAGGTAGAGTTGGCATCTGCTTTTCATTTTCTTGTTGGGTTAGGTGGAGAGAGGGGACATGCAGAGCACTGTGTTTATGTACATAGGGATGTCTCTTTTATCCTCCTGAGAGATACTCTGCAATCCTCTTCCATAAGTTTCTAGTGATGGCAGCCTTATTTCTTCCCCCATGGTAAGAGACTCTCCCACATCATGTGTGATGAGTTTAGCTGGCACCATTGCAGTAAACAGACTAGCATCATATGGTCCATCAGCAGCTGTGTTCTCTGTGCCTTTGTGAACCTCGGGAGTTGGATATTAGCTAGAATCCCCACAGCCTGTGGAAAACTGCCAATCAATACCCTCTGAGCTGCTGGGTGCCAACGGCAAGCCGTGCTCAGGCATAGGAGATGAGTGTCAGTCATGACAGAGAAGCACAGAAGCAAGAGGGTTAGAGAAAAGACAGTTACCTTTTCCGTAACTGGTGTTCTTCGAGATATGTTGCTCATGCTCATTCCACAACCCGCCCTCCTTCCCCACTGTTGGAGTTTCCGGCAAGAAGGAACTGAGGGTGGGGAGAGCCGGCGGTGCCCCTTATACCACGCCATGTGGGCACCACTCCAGAGGGTGCCAGAGGTGGTCCCCTACGAATACTGCTGAGGGAAAAACTTCCGGTACCAGTGCATGTGGTGAGCACACACACCTAATATGGAATGGACATGAGCAACACATCTCGAAGAACACCAGTTATGGAAAAAAGTAAGGGTCTTTTTTATACCTTAAGGACACATAAAATCCTTCCTCTCCTCCAGCCCCCCGCATCCCTGACAGGCTGTACTCACCACGTCTGGGACTGGAGAGCAGTGCTGTGCAGAGGCACTCCAAAGCTGAAGTGTCGATAAGCATAGCTTATTAAAAGTGAATATGGGAAGAGTTTTGAAATTTATCTTTCCCTTTCTCTTGTGACCGTAAATCCAGTGGCACATCTGTCTGTTTTTATCAGCAGCTTTCGGCAGGGTGGCCTTGAGGGATGCCCCCTCCTTGCCAGCAGAACACCTGACCCTGAAGAGGAGGAGAAAGAAGAGAATGAGGGAGGACATGATTTGTGAGATCCTGCAAGCCAGTGAGGCATCAGACCATGAACAAAGGGCTTGGAGAGCCAGCGTGACGAACAGCATGGAGAAGGAAAGAGAGAACAAGTAAAAGGCTCCAGGAGTTGCAGCAGGAAATGTAGCAGAATGTAGTAGGTCTTCTCAGTCAGCAAATTCAAGTGCTGCAGGCCCTGATTGACCTACGGGTCCAGAAATCCCAGACCTGTCCACCTTTTGCAGTCCTTGGAGAATTCCATGGTCGCTGCTCCTTTCAACTCCTAATATACCACATGGCATCACAGGGCACATCCTTACCCCTTCCACTCCATGCCAGGGACAGTAAGGAAAACCACAGCTTTACATACACTGACCTGTGAGAACCACGGCAGGTGTATGTGTAGCCACACTGGACTATGCTTGTTTCCTCAACAGGACACACATGTTTATAATTTTAAACTTTCACCCCGTTATGTTAAAAACTTGTGTAACAGGGCCTATGTGTTTTCTGGTTTTTGCACATTGATTTTCTGCAGCATTGTTTCTTTTTTCCCACTCAACTTGCGTTTTTTGGAGAATCAAATCACCTCTATTAGTTCACAACAAACATTGCAGAATGCATAGTGGTACACAAAGCAGACAGTATTTGTAAATACACGCCAAGCATCATAGAATTCATAGCTACAGAAAAACACCCAGTTATATTCATAAATGTACAGTAAGCACTTCAAGCAACCCGTAAAGATCTAGGCCCACAGACCAGTACTGTGGCTGACAGTTTAAGTGCTGTTTCAAAGCTTCCCTCAACTGCATAGTTCCATAGTGGGGTCTTGTTATGAACCATGAGTCTGGCTGTTCAGAGTCAGTCAGCAGCTGCTTCACGTCTGTCCTCCACCCTGGTGGCAGCTTTTCCCCCGTGGCCTCATAGATATTATGCAGGACACAAGAGGCAGCTATAAACATTGGGATATTTTTCTCACTGAGCTCCAAACTAGTGAGTAGACACTGCCAGCATCCCTTCAATTTACCAAAAGCACATTCAACTGTCATTCTGCACCTGCTGAGCTGGTAATTGAATCTTTCCTTGGTGCTGTCCAGGTAGCCAGTGTATAGCTTCAAGAGCAAGGGTTAGGCTGGGTCCTCTAGCATCATTATTGGCATTTCAATATCACCAGTGGTAATTCACTGGCCAGGAAAAAATGTCCCTACTTGCAGATTTCTGAATAACCATGTGTTCTTAAAGATACGAGTGTCATGCATCTTCTCTGACCAACCAACACTGATGTCGGTGAAGCCACCCCAGTGATTCACCTAGACGTGCATAACCATAGAAAAGTTTCCTTTTCTGTTGTACTCTGTGGGAAGATAGGCTGGTGCCAGAATAGAGAGTTGCATGCTGCCTATCGCCCCACCACTGTTCAGGAACGCTCATTGCTGCAAATCCACCCACTATGTCCTGCACATTGCCAAGAGTTACAGGCCTGCATAGCAGGAGATAATAATGGTTCTATGCACTTGCACAACAATGGCCCCACTGTGTATTTTCCAACTCTAAAATGATTTCTCACTGACCAGTAGCAATCTGGTATTGCAAGCTTCCAGAGTGTGATCACCACTCGCTTCTCCGTTGCTGATGCAGCTCTCATTCTGTTGTCCATGCACTGAAGGGCTGGGGAGAACTCAGTGCACAGATCCAGTCATATGGCCTTGTGCAGCCAAAAGTTCTACCGCCACTGTGCATTGTCCCAAACCTGCATTATGATACGATTCTGCCAGTCAGTGCTTTTTGCTCGGGTCCAGAAGCAGCACTCCATCATCTGCAGCTGCTCTGTGAATGTCACCAACAACTTTGAATTGTTTTTCACTATGTCCCTCAGCAAACTGTCCTCAAAGAATTATCATGTTCCTGGTTATTGTGCTTCCTGGAGGTCTTCAAATACAGGCAGGAGCGCCACCAGCTTTTCTTCCGCCCTAGGCAGCGGAAGGTCCCGCCCCGAAATGCCGCCCCCCACAGAGGCAGCGGAAGGTCCCGCCGCCGAAATACCGCCGCGGTCGCCACCTCCCAAATTGTAGCGCCCTAGGCACCCGCCTAGGTCGCCTAATGGGTTGCACCGGCCCTGAATACAGGAGAAGTGTGCGTCATTCACAAGAACATTATAGAGCTTTGCAGACTCTGGGCTTCAGCCAGAGATGGCAGAGACTGAAAAGTGTCATGCAAGTTTGGGAGGGGGGCGTTTAAAAAGGTTTGAAAATTATGGGCTCTGGATGGCATGATGGGATGGAGAAAGTTATCTGCTGGGAACTTAACCCCTAGCTCCCAGAGATCCCCGGATGAGTCATTACTATCTCACAACACATTGCAAAAATGGCCAATATGGCATGGTGCCAGATGGCAGAGCATGGCACTTTGGAATATGCTCCCGTAGTGCACTGCACTTTGCATTAACACAAGCATGCCTGGTGAGTAGTCACAGTGCTGACACAAGTAGCCATGTGACCGAGCAATATACAAACTTTGGCGGCTGTATGCTGACATAACTTTGTAGTGTGTAGATTTGACCTTAGGAAAGCGTTGGCAAAAGCAATGGCACTTAGCAAGGCCTTTCCCTGCCCAAAACAAAGTAAAGACCTGTGCTAAATTAAATATTCCCATGTTTGTTCTTCTATGGAATGGCTTTTGCCTTCAGTGATCCACCTTGTTAATGAGACACCTGGCTGTTGAGTGAATGCAAACCATAGAAAGAAGAGCTCCCCATAGTGACTTTAGGTAATTCTTGTAGATGTAGATGTAACTGGCCAGATCCTCATATCATGCAAATCGATGCAGCTCTATTAACTGTAATGAAGCTATGCTAATTTATACCATCTGAGGATCTAGCTCATAATGGTACCGGTAGCCACAGTGGTCCCTGACCTGTTTGGTATGATTAGGCCTAGGAAATAAAATTAATTATCTTACAAACACTCCTTTGTGAGTGTGGGCTCATCTCTGTTTGTGTCTTGCACTGTCACAAGATTATGAGATTATTACAATCCCAGGGATAGACCCCACAGGGGTTAAAACACTGGGGGACCATCACTCCCACAAGACCTTAACCACTGAGAGAAATGTTAGGGGACACAGAACAACTTGAGAGACTTCCCAACACCTTGCTGCTGCCATCAAAGCTTGATGAAGCCTTCCTTTTAGCTACACATTGAGGGCCAGGTCTTCAAGTGGTGTCAATCACCTCCAGTTTATACCAGCTAAGGTTATAGCCCAGACTGAGCGTAGCAGGGACATGGAAAAACCCTAAAATGCTCTGGCAATAATATGTTTGCATAGCTCTGTACAGGCTCCTGCTCCTTTTCTGAGTTTCCTTTCCTAGTGATCACTAGTGTGTTTTTGTGTAACAAGGTGAAAGGCTGGGTGAAAGGAGACCTTTTTAATCACATTTGGGTGACAGCCTGTTAAAGTGGGCCCCTCGCTCACCCAGGTTCTATTCGGTTGTTTCCCTTGCGAGGATTCTAGAACAGAACACATTGCAGCATGAACAATGGAAGTGGATTTGGGAATATGGGGATTTGTAAAACATTGATTCTCAGCTTTTTGTTTTTCACTTGAAATGTGTTTTGGAAAACAACGTAAGCTGTTTTAGGTCCTAAATTGTTAATGGAGTGAGTATGAAATTCCTCAATAATATTGTAATCCTTTGAATGTATACAGCGCCTTCCTACTGGATCCCACGATTATTACAAACAATGATGATTTACTCCACACCAACATCTAGTGATTTAAGGAAGTATTATCCCCAGTTGACTAAGGGGGAAGCTGAGATCACACAGGAACTCTGCCCCAGAACTGATGGTGAAACCCAAATCTGAAGCTTAGGATATACCAGAGCACGTACAGCGGCATACCTGAACCGATGCAGCTGCACTGATGTGTATTCTCCAGTGGAGCCACTCTAAACCGATGGGAGAGAACTCTCCTGTCAACAATTGGAGTCATCGTGGATAGTTCTCTGAAAATGTCCACGCAGCGTGCAGAGGCGGTCAAAAAAGCAAACAGGATGTTAGGAATCATTAAAAAGGGGACAGAGAATAAGACTGAGAATATATTATTGCCCTTATATAAATCGATGGTACGCCCTCATCTCGAATACTGCGTACAGATGTGGTCTCCTCATCTCAAAAAAGATATACTGACACTAGAAAAGGTTCAGAAAAGGGCAACTAAAGTGATTAAGGGTTTGGAATGGGTCCCATATGAGGAGAGATTAAAGAGGCTAGGACTCTTCAGCTTGGAAAAGAGGAGACTAAGGGGGGATATGATAGAGGTATATAAAATCATGAGTGATGTGGAGAAAGTGGATAAGGAAAAGTTATTTACTTATTCCCATAATACAAGAACTAGGGGTCATCAAATGAAATTAATAGGCAGCAGGTTTAAAACAAATAAAAGGAAGTTCTTCTTCATGCAGCGCACAGTCAACTTGTGGAACTCCTTACCTGAGAAGGTTATGAAGGCTAGGAATAGTTTGAAAGAGAACTGGATAAATTCATGGTGGTTAAGTCCATTAATGGCTATTA